TTTTCTGGAGTCTCACTCTGTCACCCAGGCTGGAGCACAGTGGCATGCTCACGGCCACCGCAGCCTTGACAATTCTTCCACCTCAGCCTTCCAAGTAGCTGGAACTACACCTGGCAAATTTTTTTATTTATTGTAGAGATGGGGACTCGCCAAGTTGCCCAGGCTGGTCTCAAACCCGTGGGCTCAGGCAATCCTCTCACCTCGGCCTTCCAAAGTGCTGCTGGGATTATAGGCGTGAGCCACCACGCCTGGCATAGAGCTAGTTTTGTATGTACTCATTGTCTCTTTCAAGTTACTTTATTCAAGTCTTTACTTATTTTCTGACTACTTGATCTGCACAGGAAGATAATTTCACACATAAATTGCTTTTCTGTCCAGTTTTTCCTTGGATGTCTGGGTTTTTGCTTCCTGTATTCTGTCTCATAAAAATGTATTCCTTTAATTTCATGTTTTACGGTCATACTGGTGGCCTCTAATACATGCTCTGTATGAAAGCATTCAATGTTAAGACAGAGCTGCAGGTCCAATGACTCGTGTGGTTGGGACGTAATGACAAGTATGTGTGATACTTGGAGACAGATCGCTAATAGCAATATTACATTATGGCACCTGTGTACTTTTTTTTCTTTTGAGTCAGAGTCTCAGTCTGCCGCCCAGGCTGGAGTGCAGTGGCATGCTCACAGTCACCGCAGCCTCGACCTGCGGGGCTCCAGAGATCCTTCCGCCTCAGCCTTCCAAGTAGCTGGAACTACAGGTGCACCACCCACCCGGCTAATTTTTTGATTTATTGTAGAGTCGAGGTCTTGCCAAATTACCCAGGCTGGTCTTGAACCCCTGAGCTCAGGCAGTCCTCTCACCTCCACCTCCCAAAGTGCTGGGATTACAGGCTCCCCAGGTTTCAAAGCCACAGACCCCAAAATAAGATCCCCTGCTACAGTCCTTCCAGTACCCAGGTTTGCCAACGGAGCAAGTCAGAGTCATGGCTTAAGAAACACTCATTCACCGCCGGGTGTGGTGGCTCATGCCTGTAATCCCAGCACTTTGGGAGGAGGAGGCGAGAGGATTGTCAGAGTCCAGGAGTTCGAGACCAGCCTGGGCAACTTGCCGAGATCTCATCTCTGCAATAAACCAAAAAATTAGCCAGGTGTGGTGGTGCACACCCTGTAGTTCCAGCTACTGGGAAGGCTGAGGCGAAAGGATTGCCTGAGCCCAGCAGGTCGACGCTGCGGTGACTGTGAGCGTGCCACTACACTCCAACCTGGGTGACAGAGTGAGACTCCAACTCAAAAAAAAAAAAAAAGCGCTCATTCACCACATAGGCCTTGCCCCCACTGGGCATCCTGCCCTGGGTTCAACAGCCCGAGGTGCCCCTGGGCAGTAGTCAGTACAGCTGGGTCACTCTGCTCCTGGCACTCGGGCATCTGGGGGCCCCGACTTGGTTTCCTTCCCACCTCGCAGCTGGTTCTTGTTTCCTTCGCTGGCCCTCATACTCCCTCCTCTCCTTCCGTCCTCAAGAGCTTCTTGTGCTCACAGCTCTTGGTAGCACCTACATTCTGATGACGCTTAACCATCTGCAGCCAGCTCAGAGCTCACCCTCGGAACTAGACTCAGAAGCCCAGCTGCTGCTCAGCCAGATGTTGGCCCTTCTGTCCCGGTCCCCCTCCAACTCCTACCCGGGCACTAGCTGGGATGACAGCTGCAGCCTCAGTCTGCTGTCCCAGCTTGTCCCAAGGGCTCTAGCAGGTCCCTGCCCTGGCCAGGGAGACTCCATTCTCTCCGACGTGCCCTGATGGAGTTGGTCTCTGCTCGGGATCTCCCGCTCACGCCCGAGTGAGAGAGCGCCCGGGTCCCCTTCTGCTTGTTTGCAGTGTGCCCCCCACCACCGAAACGTGAGCTCCAGGAGGGCAGGGGCTCTTTGTTGACTGTGCCCAGTGAGGGGGGAAGAGGGAGCCAGGGGAGAGCCTTCCCGGTCCCAACCAGGCCAGACTGCCCCCACAGCCCCGGGAAAGCCTAGCCCTGGCCCAGGCCGCCCGGGGAGGAACAGCTGCTTGCCACGTCCTCCAGCCCCGTCAAGTCTCTAGCCGGGACAAGGAGGAGCGCTCACCTGGCGGAAGGCGTACTCAGCCACCTGGTAGAAGAGGTCCAGCAAAGCAGGGTCCCCACTGTCACTGTAGCCCATGAGAAAGGCAATCATGGCCTCGTTGTGCGGCCACCACAGCTTCATGGCCCACTCCAGCTGGGGACAGAGCAGAGGCAGGCGACTGAGGGCCCTGAGTTCCCCCTCCCCCAGCTCTCTCAGAGCACCCCCATCTTTCCAGACCTGGCTGGCTCTCCCTGAGCCTATCTGTCTTGTCAGTCTGTCTTCAAGCCCCTGAAGAGCTCCTGGCCGTGGCCTGGACAGAACCTCTGCAGACCTCTGGCAGGGTCAAGACAGTCAGAGGCAGCACGGCCTGACGGAAGAGTTCCCCTCCCAGCTGCCACTGCGTTAGAATCACGGAGAGCCTTTCAGAGACCCAGAGCTCCGGCTGTCACAGCCTCAGCTCTGGCACCAGCCCCCAACGGCCACCCTGTGACCTGGCCTGGGCAGCACTGGACCACATGTCCACAGCCAGCCTCTGTGTTCACATCCATCTCTGTGCTCTCCCTTTCCAAGAGGACCACGACAGCACCGGCCTCCCATGCAGAAAGCTTGAGGACAGAGCCCTGGGCAAGCTCTTACCTGGGTGGGACAGAGGTCATCGGCATCCTGGAAATAAAAGAGGCCTCCGTGGTCAGGGTCCCATCCAGAGCGGAAGGGCACCAACAGGAACTTCTCGATAACGTGGGCTCGAAGCTCAGGGTCACCTTTCCGGGTGGAATGACGGAGCAGGAACCAGCCGGCTTCCAGTGCGTGGCCTGGGAAGGCTTGGGTCAGGCAGGAGCCAGACCCTCCCCGAGCGCCCGGGTGGGGGCAGGATGACAGGCACGTGGGAAAGC